GTATGCTCACACTGTTGGACAGAGCCAGTCAAATTACCAAGCCATTAGCTTAATGACACTTCCTAACACTCCACCCCCACAGAGAACTGTCTGAGTGCTACTTCAGATGTCTGTCTTAAAGAAAAATGGGCTTCAAAAGCCTGACACTTTTCAGTAACCGCTTTAAGATAACAAATGATTATTGATGACCCCAGGGCAGAAATTAAAGAGCAAAGAGCTGGCAAACAACAGCAAAGATTTTCAGCTGATCAGATTCAGATGATAAAATGTCCTAAGCGTCCAAAATACTCACGTGTACTGCATGTGTAACATCAAGTTTGTGTTGTACTTCTTGTTTTATTGTGTAAGGGAAGAATAAAGTACACAATGAAAACATTACTTCTGGTTGACTGACATCCAAGAATTAAATGTCCACAACTTAACTGTTGCATGACACATTTCAGCTTTTACTGTTGATAATAAAATCTTCAGCATGTTTCATTTCATCTTCATTTTATATAAAAATATGAACTTGCATTTCCTGTGACAATGAAGTGTCAATGCTGAGTGCTGAAAATTTTTGCTGAATTTGGTAAATAAGCTGAAACTGACTTGTGAAAGTTAAATTATCAGAACAAATAGTAAAACTAGAAAAACAAATGCTTAAATTAGTACCCTCGAAAGAGGAACTTAAAAACTATCAGCAAATGGTGAAAATTAGGAAAATGATAACTAAAAACTAATATCAACAAGATAATAGCTCAAAGCTAAAGCCAGCAAGACAGTAGCTAAATGCTAAAAATGAAGCAATATGCTGATCTAGATTTAAAAAAGAATAACATTTTTTTACGGTCTTGAAGAGTTTTCCATGAATATTTATGAGAAAAATGTAAACAAATGTAAAATTCCAAAAAATATTAAAGTTGCAAGTTATAGCACAAATGATACGAATCACTGACCATATTCCTGTTTTTATTGTCCATGATAAGATAATAGTCTATCATCTTCAGGTGATCCAAAATGCTGCAATCATATCTCTCCAGTTTTAGCTTATCTCAATTGGCTCCCTGTCAAATCCAGAATTTATTTCAAAATATTACTTCGAACCTAAAAAGCCCTCAACAACCTAGCTCCATCTTATATTCAAGATCTTATTGTTCCATATTTTCCTAACAGAGCACTTTGCTCTCAGACTGCAGGTTTACTTGCGGTTCCTAGAGTTTCCAAGAGCAGAATGGGAGGAAGATCTTTCAGTTATCAGGCTCCTGTAGTGAACTAGGCCTCCAATCAAAACCTGCCTCTGAAGACCTTCATGGGACAGGAACTGTTATTTCATTGATTTGAATCCAGAAATACAAATTAGCTCATCCAGATACTTTCTAATTGTATCCTGAAGTAATCATTTGAAAGAACTCTCTTTTTTATATTATCATTACTATTTTACAATATCTTGATAATCAAAAGTGTGTTTAGTTCATACCATTTTTAAATGTTGAAGTGAACCACTCATTTTAAATCAACTGTGAAACAGTATTGATGATTTTTTTAATCCTCCATTTAAATTAGAAATCAAGTTAAATGTCTATTTTACAAAGTAATTATGCATTTTTTGATCTTCTGTCTGAAATGAGAAGGAGTGATGTCGGTCAAAAGTCGGAGACAGTCAAAAACAAGTTGTTAGAACAGGCTTACATGTTTTTAAAACTCTCAGACAGTAAATAAGAGAACTGGCACCGGCAGTGTTTCTCACTTCGCCAAAACATTTCTGTCTGTTCCTAAACATTTCTGCTGTTTTCTCAACTTGTAAAAACCCTTTGACGTCACTAGAACCACACCCCTGTTGGTTGCTTCAACCAATCAGGACTTCCTAAAAGTGACCAGAAGCAGAACTCTTTAAAAGTCGACACTTCCTGGAAGTGTCAGTTCCTCTGAGTTCTTCTGAGTCTCTTGGAGTACTGTTGAGTAGTTCTGGAGTTTTTCCACTGCTGAGCGGAACTTCAGACTCAGTTTTCCTGTCTGATGGAGCCTCTGCAGGAGCCACGACGCCTCGCTGTGGCTCCACCAGGCGAATCCCCTATAACTGCTGAGGAAGTTGTTCTGTAGAACGGAGTATCTCATGACTTCTGCCGAGTCGCAGCCGCCCTGAGGAGACGCTGAAAGGTAGCGTGCCAGGGACCTCTTGACCGCAGCGGACCCATCCTCTGCCAAGGTAAAGAGTCATCACGAGCTTCACTACAAGTGTACCGCAGCGAGCTGCGTTTGAAAGGAGCGTGTTGTTCTGGTCTACAGACATAAATCTTCCTCCACATATTTCCTTTAAACTCCTCCATAATTTCCCATCTTTAAACTTCTATCTTGCCAGTAATTAATCCAGATGCCTTCAGAAGTGTCTGTTGTTTTTATTAAGTAAAACGTGCCAAGTTTTATTAATCAGAACCAGACCAGTCTAATCAAGTGTACAATGTTTTGATGTTAAATTTGGATTCTGTTAATAAATGACCACATTTATTTTGATGGGTCAAAGAAAAATAGCATCTCATGTCACTGATTAAACCATCTACGCACAGTACCTCTGTCACATCCAAGAGGGTACTAGACTTTTTAACAAACAGACCACAGTTAGTGAGGATCCACAACTTCTCCTCCTCTACCATAACCCTCAGCACTGGCTCTCCTCAGGGATATGTGTTGAGCCCCCTCCTGTTTACTCTGCTCACGTATGATTGTGCAGCTACCCATCCAGGCTGTCACATTGTAAAGTTTGCAGATGATACAGCGGTGGTGGGATGCATCACAAACAATGATGAGTCCAGCTACAGGCAAGAGGTGGAACACCTGGAGAGCTGGTGCAAAGAGAATAACCTTCACATCAATGTGAAGAAGACAAAGGAGATGATTGTGGACTTCAGAAGGAACAAAAACACCTACACCCCCCTGAACATAAGAGGATCTGCGGTGGAAGTGGTCTCCAGCTACAAGTACTTGGGTGTACACATGAATGACAACCTCAGCTGGAGCAACAACACCACCAGCCTGATCAAGAAAGCTCATCAGAGACTCTACTTCCTCAGACAGCTGAGGCGAGCTAGTCTGGGAAGCTCAGTCCTCACCTCCTTCTACAGGTGTGCAGTGGAGAGCATCCTGTGCTCCAGCATCAACGTGTGGCATGGAGGCTGCACAGCTGCAGAACGAAAAGCTTTGCAGAGAGTGGTGAAGGCTGCACAGAAATCTGTCGGAATCAGCCTCCCCACTATCACAGGCATCTACACCTCCAGATGCAGGAACAGGGCCACCTGCATCATGAAGGACCCCACTCACCCAGCACACACACTTTTTGCTCCACTCCCCTCAGGAAGGAGGTTAAGGAGCATTAAGTGTAGAACCACTAGACTGAGGAACAGCTTCTACCCTGAGGCTGTTAGACTCATGAATCTCTAACTAGAATAATCACTGTGAAAAACCATATCATGTTGCTCCTGATCTGTTTCATGTTGCTGCTGATCTGTTTCATGTTGCTGCTGATCTGTTTCAATGTTGATGTGTTCATGCGTGCACATCTGCTCACAGACTCATGTTCATGTTTGTGCTGATGTTCAATGTTTTATGTTATGAGTGCTTAGTGTATATTTAGTTGATGTTTTTCTTAGATGTTATTACTGTTATACATTTTATTGTTGGATGTAACTGGGACCTTGTGTACATAATTTCGCTCCACCACATGTACCACATGAGGTGCGAATGACAATAAAGAAACTCTGACTCTGACTCTGACATATCTGTAAGTAGCCCGAAAAAGAGAGAACCCGTTATTAAAATATGACTGTAGTGAAGCTCTGAAGCTAATCGAGCCTTTTAGATACACTACACTCCTCTCTTGTGGAACCAACTTCCAGTTTCTGTCCATGAGGCTGACACATTGTCCAGTTTTAAGACTGGGCTTAAGACTTTCCTTTTTAATAAACTCTATAGTTGGGGTTGGCTTGTTATGCTGCCATAGGTTTAGATTACTGGAGGACAAATTGACCACATTTATATAAATTATTTATTACAAGTGAATAGTTTTTCATTTGATATTCTTAATATGTGATTTGACCAGCCATTGTGTATCTATTCCTCCTTCCTGTTCCCCTCAAACCCAGCCGGTTGAAGCAAATGGCCGCTTGTCCTGAGCCTTGTTCTGATAAAAGTTTCTTCCTCATGATGGAGTTTTTCCTTTCCACTGTCGCCTTCATGCTTGCTCAAGATGAGCCTGTGATGGAGTTAAATTCAAAGCAGTCTGCTCCTCAGATAAATAATGTTAACTTGCTTTTTTATATATGAATGTTTCTGTTCAGCGCCCTGAGATGACTTCTGTTGTGACTATAAACTGAACTGAATTAACAGAAACGATAAGATTAGCAAATTGGGAAAAAAAAAAAGAATATAGGCATATAAGATCTGAGGAATTAACTACCTTTTTAAATATGACATTGAAACAAAACTGGGAAGAAATATATTAAAAAAAGATGTTAATAGTACTTAAGTATTCTCAAAAATATGTACATTATACAATAAAAATTGTCCAATAAAGCAATATAGTAGAAAACTTTAACATACAACCAGCCCATGGATAATAAAAGGTCTTAGAAATGCATGTAAAAAGAAAAATACACTATAAAGACTTCATGAGACAGAGAACTGAATCTGCTAAATCAGATATAAAAGATATAAAAACAACCTAATAAACATAAGATTCAGTAAATGGAGTACTATAAGAAATTATTAGACTATAAAAAAAAAAACTATTAAAAGAATGTAGGATATATTAAAATTCTGTAATAAAAAGTGGGGTGGCCATGAGGAATATAATGTATTGTGGCCCAATAGCTTTAACAATTCATTTGTACATGTTGGACCATATTTAGCTCAAGAAATCCCAGATTCTGGGGAGAAGCTGAATATCTCTATAGATAGAAATCTTGTGTAAATTTTTCACTGGCCTGCATTTTTCCACCATTGTGTTGCAGGAAGCTTCCACCTACCTGTTCTCAGGGTCAGGCTTGGTCATGGCTCGTGTTGCGTAACACATCTTCAGTGGTATGCACCTCCGGTCACCGCTTGGACACAAGGAGGGCACGGTGGGGAAGCTCAGAGAGTCCGATGAGAAGGACGAAGTGAAGGCAGGACTGCTGGGACGAGGACACTCGGGAGGTGCCGTCTCCCAGCCAATCTCAGACACTGGGGAGCCCTTTTTGACGTACGGTGTAGCCTCACGCATGTATTTGACTGGGAAGGGAAACACCACACACATTCAGTCTAAAATTATGTAACAATATTAAAAAAAGAGATGAAAATCATCAAACAGGATTTTAAAAGTTCACAGTACTATGTTCACTAGTGAAGTTTACGTGAAATTTAAAAGCAAAGTGTTCAAAATTTAGCACAGAGTATTTATAAGTAACTTTTTTTCTTTCGGCTGCTCCCTTCAGCAGGAGTTGCCACAGCGAGCAAACTTGCATGAAGATTTGGCACTTGTTTTTACGCTGGACGCCATTCATGCAACCTTTGATCACCAAGATACAACAACCCACATGGGTGGAACAGAGAGCTGTCCTCTAGGGTGCCAGGGGGAGCAGATGGGGTGGTTAAGGGCCCAGAATGGGGCAAATGAGGGTGAAGGCAGATGTGGGTACTTCACCTTTTCCAGCCAAATTGTAATGCAACCTTCAGTGGATTTTCGCTTTACTTCACTTATTTGTGCACTCGTTGACATAGGACACCAGGTCAGTTTACTGACCAACAGCAGCTTTATTAATTTATTCACCCTTTAATAATTAGAACTCAGTCACTGAAGTAGAATGAAAATTGCAGGAAACTATATCTTAACAAATTAATATGTACCCAAAATGAGGAGACTGGATTTGTCTTTGAAGGTTTATTACAAAAATAATCGATGTCAATTTATTTATATAGCACATAAGAATAACAAAAGCTGAGTAAAATGCTTTACAATTTAGTTGAATTAAAATGAAAACAAGAAAATACATCTTGTGTCACTAAGGAAACAAGAAATTTAACAACAAAATACAACACACAGAAAAAAAGTCTCAAACTAGTTCTCGAACTCTGCCTGGATCAAAAAATTGACAAGGAAAAGAGATGTCTTGAGCAAATATTTAAGTCTCAACAGTCTTTAAATGATCTGGTAAACTCAGGGCTAAATCTGAGCCGGATGTCCTATCGGAACAGGATCCGAGAACTCTTATTTTGACAGGGTGCGTTCCAGTAACTGTTAGCTTGTGTAGTATGACATATGCTGGATATATTCATACATTTTTCACGAGTTCTTCATTTTTCTGACTGTGTAAATGTCGTGCTTTGAGTTTAACAGAAATGTAACAAGAGACGTTATTTATCTTTGACCCATCAAATGAATGCGGTCATTTATTTGCAGAATCAAAGTTTAACATCAAACATTTACATTAATTTGGCAAAATATGAAAACAATAACAATGGCAAGTTCACAGAAAGTGGGACAATAGACATCAATCACACGGCGGTGATTGAGAACTTTGCTTCAGATATTTCTAAAATATCTGTAATGATTTTAGGAGAAAGGAGAGTTTAAGATGGAAAATGGAGATTTATCTTACAGAGAGATGTGTGAGGGAGTTTATCTGTGGGACCAGAACAACACGCTCTTTGGGGAATCAGCTTGGCCACGGTACACTTGGTCGAAATAGAACCTTCTACCTGGTTGATGATAAAATCAGTGTCGGCGTAGGGTTCCTTTCTGACTCTTTCAGCGTCTCCATGAGGACAGCCAAACCCTTAGAGAGTCGTGCGAGTTATCCAAACAGAAGTTATAATTCCCCAAAATCCTCTCTGCATCCTGGATTGTCAGAATTCTGAACTCCTTCAGAACTCTCTTCAGAGAGTTAAACTCTGGAACTCTTCTCCATGAGCTGCATCAGAGAGCTGTTTTTCATCTCTCTTCTCCAGGAGAACTGCAACTCTTTGTAACTCTTTTACTCTTTTTTTCTTTTTTCTGGCGAGAACCGGGAAGTTGCCACATTTAAATGAGTTGACTTCCGGGTCATTTTAGAGCTTTCTGATTGGTGGATGGACCAGATCAGAGGTGTGGTTTGTGATGTAAGGTGTTATCAAAGTCAAGGGCAGAGAATGAGATTGTTTAAAACAGACAGAAAGATTATTGGAGAAAACCAGACTTCGTGGAGTCGAACTCTCCTGTATCTTCTGTAAAGATTAAACATGACATTTCTTTTCAGTAAACATTTTAGTTGACCGAAACTCGACCTTTAACATACTTACAAATTTGCTCATTGAAGACAGAAAAATCAAGAAATGCATATTACCCTGATTTCTTCTTTGAATGAGGAATAAAAATCATTACTTACTGTTTATGTAAAATAAAAATGAGTAGTTCTCTTCAACCTGTAAACATTGAG